TTCATACAAATCGTCGTGATTTATACAAATCAGATGCTCCATAGCAAACACATTTTGGCTATGGAGGGTAAATAACAAAACTGAAGCTATAGAGTGCTAATACGATTTTTATGTTTGCTATTCCTAAAATTTACTCTGAGAATATTCTTTCATTTTTACCCTTCATTTGGATTTTCTATATGATGAGTTCAAGAGACTTAAATTACTTTAAATTAATTTCTTGAAAAATTCTTATTAATGTGGTTGAGATTTTCATAAAAAGAACTCTTCACTATATTGATAAATTACCACTCCAATCTTTGGTGAATTGGTGTAAACTCTACTTGTCATATGTAGCAAATTTAAAAGTGAATCAGTAGATTTTATTAATTTGAATTTTGAAGATCCGATTGAAATAGTTCACGACAATACTATGGATGAAGACTAAATTAATATAATTCAATAGATAATTTTTTAGTCATTTTTGTTAAGATTTTACCTCCAAAAATTGACTCTGTAAATTTTTGTTAAGGTTTTACCTCTAAAATTTTGGCTTTAACAAAAAAAAAATTTATTCATTTTAAGAGTCATATATTGAATTTTGAAATGGAAGGAGTAGTATTTAATATCAACGGTAAAATAGATACAAAATGATAAATTATTCATTGATTTTATAAACTAAACAAATATTGCTAGACATCTCAAAATAATATAATGTACAAGTAAAATGAATAGAGAAATATATATATATATATATGTATATTTATAATGAATGTGAAAAGTACTTTGAGAGAATGCAAAAGGATTTTCCAAACATGGTATCTATATATTCATTTTATTTTGGTACAGTTAATAAGAAAAGACACGAAAAGGGAAAAAACAAACAGTCTTTATTTTTTAAAAAAACAAGAAGCCATTTTTTGGAAAAAAAATTGAATGGGAAATAGAAAAATTTACATGGAGGAAGTAATTTTTACCATTATGGATATTATGTACTCTTCATCTTTTTTTACCTGTTTTTTTTCAAAAAAGAGGTTGGTAGAGGCCATAATAAAAGTGAGTGGTTGCCATAATTAGAAGGGCTGTGAGATAGACATGTTTTGCCTCATTTAGCCAAAAACATAATATAGGGGAAATGCTAATAATACATATGCACATAATTAAGGTTTTCATTTTCTAAAATCAACTTTGTATAAAGGAAGGTTAGTAGGCGTTTGACCATAAAATTTAAAAATCTAATTTCAAATCATTGTTAATTTATGAAATTTACACACTTTAAATCATGATTTGAAATTATCCAATAATCATATAAGTATTGTACTTTGCTTGATTAATTAATTTGTCTTTTAATTTGTTCTCTCAATTCTCACATTGCATTAAAAAAATCTTTTTATAATTATGATACCCTTCTCTCCCTTTATCGGTCCCCTTCACGATAAGCTGCTTGTTTGTAGTATAAAGTAAAGACTAAGATTTAATTAATGACAAAATCAAAACTAAGTAAAGTGTCAAAAATGAAGGATGAGAGATAAATTGCAATTAATGTAGAACTAATAAAAAAGAATTTTACGCTATGATTTGTCCCTAGAAGGGAAATTCTTCTTTGCATAATTGAATGAATAACCTATATGGTCATATAGTAAATTACTCACGAAAATTAATTGTATTTATTCAATTAAAATTGTATCAATAAAGATACTCAAGTTAAAAACCAGTTTATCCTCAAAATCATGGTACTAAGCTAGCGTTTGGACATAGATTTTCAAATATTTTTGGCAAATATTATTTGGGTGAAATTTTACCATGTGTTGGATCATAATATTTGGGAAATACATTTCATTTTTTTAATAAATATGATTTATACCCATAAGTTTTAAAAACTATCAAAACTAACCATATGTTTGAATTACATAGCAAGATAGAAACATCAACGTAACAAGATTCATTACTTCCGCAACAAGTCAATTGGATCTTCGTTGCAGAAAATAACAAGTAGTGTCCATGGCACTGGAGCAATGTGGTAGTTCGGAGTGAGTGCAACAAGCATCATCCCATATATCATGAAGTAGATGAATCACATGACTTTATTACCTGGAGCATATTATTCGTCATTTTCATCAACAAACATATTATCACTTTCATATTCATTGAATATTTTATCACTGCTTTAGTGTTCACGTAAAAAAATATTATGTAATACAGCACAAACAACTACTATAGAGGGTGTTTTTGTAAAAGATAAAAGATTGGTATAGAATTTGAATTTTTTACAGCTCCCAAATAATGAAATATGGCCTAAATACTAGTTTTTTTTAGTATTTGGAAATTTGGATTATTTGTCAAAAATATTTGCCAAATAGTATGAACAAATACTATTTGTCAATTTTTTCCTCAAATTTTACTTGGAAAATCTATAGCCAAATGGGTCCTAATAGTAGTGACTAGTGAGGGTATGTAGTACTTCATTATCTATTTTTTGAGGTTAGACTTTATATCCATTCTATAAGCGGATGTATCATTATAAGTACGTGTTCAATTAAACTTATCATAACTTTAAAATACAATAAGTTCAAAACTTAAAAACTTGAACCAATACAATTTAAATTCTGAATCCGTCTAATTTCAATACGAGTCTACAAGGCGGCTTAATCAAAATAAGATATTATATGACCTCTAGATCACCAAACTGTCCTCAACAATGCCAAAATCTTCTAATACGATAGTAATACCTCGCCATTCTCAAAAAGAGAAAAGTTAATAGTAATAATTAATTTGCCACTAAGAAAAAAGTAGAATGGCTAAGATTGTCTTCTCATCTTAATACAACGGATACAATGTCTTCAATTAAAGTAACAGATTAATAAAGTAGGGATTTGAGATTTTGATGTATTACATAATAAACGGACTAATGTCTCTTCTGATAAAAAAAATTAAACACTCCTAATGCTTTTGTCCTTTTAATCTAATTTTTAATATTAATTTACCATAATTAAATAGCTCTTTTTTAGTTTTTTTTTTGTCATGGTCCCCTACTTAAAAGCTGTAATATAATTTGAAAGGATTTGGAAAATCAATTGTTACTGTACTATATAAGTATTCTAATAAATTGTGCCTGCTTGCATTTCATGGTCCCCTATGATTCTATATTTATTTTTGTAACGCGTGAAGTGTCTTACTAGGAAACAACTTATTCTTAAAACTCCAAGAAACATAGTACATATTTTTACTGCTCATTAAAATGAACTTAACTTGGTTACTGGAAAATTAAAGTCACCAACCATGTGATAAAACACGTGTCATATATTTATTGAACGAATATAAATATCGAATGCGAACAAATCTTTAACTTGTGTACATAATAAGGACCACCAAGTTAATTATAAGCATATCCATCGTCTTGTTTTTTGGCCACCTTAAACCTTAAGGTGCGTGCAGCGTGCTATTGTTCACTTTTATATATTTTGTGCTTGACTCATGATTACAAGCCAACAAATTAAAAAAATGGTTACGTACATTATTTGCCTATTGGTAATAGTATACTATAAAGGGTAAATGTTTGGATTTTCTCTTTAAGTGTTTGATTTGTATTATATTATATTTTCCCAACTTATTATAGTCAGTCAAAGCTCCGCTTTTTTTTTAATCTCAAATATACTCTTTTACTAACGATTATCGATTCAATTAGGCAGGATCGGACTCTTTTTCTAAAAAAAATTTCTTTCATTTTTTTTCAAATTCTTACTTGGATTAGTGACACATGTTTTAAGTTAAATTAAATGGCTAAAATTTAATTGTCCAAAGCAAATCTCTAACCATGATGTTTCTTTTATTTTCTTTTTTAAATTAATCTTTTTATTGCATTATTTCTCCTATTTTATTTCACCTCTTTTCTTCCTAATTCCTCTAAGATGCAATAAAAAGATTGCTTTAAAAGAAAATAAAATAAACTTTATGCTTAGAAAAGTATTAGGAAGAGAATTGTTTTTCCTTTATTTATGAACAAGACAATATGTTGTTAAGATTGTGGAATTTCAATAATTTTTTAAATCAAATATATAATGCATTTATTAACTATATCACCATTAGATATTTATTTTGAACAATTAAATCTTAATCATTTAATTTCTTATGTCATGTGTTACTAATCGAAGTAGGATGTTGAGGAAAATGAAGAGAAGAGAAATAAAGAGGAGCCACATCCAATCAAGCATGTGCTACAATGGAGCCTTGACAAACAAAAGATTTAAAATTACCCCTAATATAAGGAAGGAAAACATAATATTATAAATCACAAAAAAATGTCAGTATCACAAAATGAACTTGAGGGAAAATTTAAGAAATATTTATATAAAGTAAAAATAATCAAATTTAGAATTTAAATTAACTAAGTGAAGTATACCTTTAATTATTTTTTAAAAAGAATATTACGTGAGATATGAAATGTAGGGAGTACTACATAGTGTGAACGTAATGAGTGTCCTAGGACCTTAGCATATAAGGAGTATATACTAAAATGACGTAAAACGCTGTCAACACAACTATACAAATAACTAGTCACTCAATAAGTGTTGCCCAACCGGACTAATTCGTTCGATTAATTTAAATTTATATTACCTAAGTAAAAAGAACTTTTTTTAACAAAATAAAATATTTCATATTTCATATCTATATCTCAAACTCAGAATATCTAATCAAAATCATCCTGAATTACTGCATTTTGTCTCGTGGCTCTTAACCACCAGATACTAGCAGTGTGTACGTTTAATCCAATCACAAATCGACAACGCAACACCCCTTAAACCACTCTTGTATCAGGTTATTATTGTGCCCTTTCACTCAATCAATCAATAATCAACAAATTGACACCCCCCACCCCCTACACCTTTGTTCTCATGCTTCTTCCATATAGTCCCACTAATTTTTTTTCATTAATCCAAACAAACCTCTCCATCATTCACATGGTAGGGAACAACCTTAATTACTCCTCTTAGTAGTATATATATAAATCAAACCAATAAATCCGACTAATTCAAATACGCGAGGATGGGAAGAGGTAGGGTAGAGTTGAAGCGGATCGAGAACAAGATAAGTAGGCAAGTAACATTCTCAAAGAGACGATCTGGATTGTTGAAGAAAGCTAATGAGATCTCTGTATTATGTGATGCTGATGTTGCCTTGATTGTGTTTTCTACCAAAGGCAAACTTTTCCAGTATTCCTCCACTGACTCCAGGTACTCTACTAATTCGAAATCTATGATTAAACGCTTTTGAAGCCTTGGAAATTTATTTTTATATATATGTAGCACAAAAACAAAATCATATTTTACCCTTCATTTTTTACATTATTAGGTTAACGACGGAACAACTAGGATGTTAATTGATAAAGGCTATGTATATTTAATAAACTAATTATTAATCAGTTCATTGATGCCCTCATGCACTAATTTGAGTAATTGTTTGTATGTTCAGTTAAAACTTATTACTTTTTCTTTCTCATTACCTACGATTTAGATCATTTGTTCTTAGCTTGGTGAATTAATTACATTGAAACTAGATCTCCTATTTCTTCCAAAAAGTAAATCAAGAGATTATTGATGGTTTCGATCAGTACACATATTTCTAAATTCTTAGCTCCCGTTTCGCCTTAGATTTTGAAGTTAAATTTAGAACTTGAAATTTTGTGTGTGTGTGTTTTTTTTTTTTTTTGAAGGTGTGCTTTTTTGGAACTTAAGTCGTGTTTGAACCTGGAAAAAATTTAAAGTTTTGTGAGCGGAAGTAAAAGTCACTCAACCAACTAGATAGTTGAAGATAAATTTTATCAAAATCTATGACCAAACGCTAACTTCATCTTTGAAGCACTGAAATTTATTTATATATGCTACATGAAATAAAAATGATATTTTACCCTTCAAATCCCTAAAGTTACCCTCATAAGTATATTACTTCCCTTGTGTTTCCATATATATTTTGCAGGTAGTCATGTTAGTATTTTGGTTTTTATATTGACATTATTACATTAAAATTAGATCAAATGCACAAAAAACAACAAATTAAAAGCAAAAAGCTGAAGAAATAGCATTTCATTTTTAAGCCTAGAGCCTTGTGCCTCTTTGTCAGTTCATTCAGTGATATATAGTACGAGGAGCACTCTCAATGACGTACGTGTACTCCAATGATATTAGTAACTTCTATGCATACAAAAAACATATGTCTACTACACATTAATGATAGCGTAAACATTCTTTACACTGTGAACGTATATATTATCTTCTGGTCAATTGGTCTCTAATGATCAAGTTAAATCTTTTATGTAGTAGAAAGTAAATGGTTTGGTTTTCCGAATGAATTAATATTGATCCAAATCCTTCAGTTAATTGTTTATAGTCTATGATTTCATGTTATATTAAAATTGATTAATAATCTTCTTGAAGTTTGTAATAACAATCAATACATAACGAGTTATGTATATTATGAGTTTAAAAGACCAACTAACTAGATTTTTTCAGACCTCTAGTATAGCTTTAACTTATTAAAGGCATATCTTACACATTGACAAATCTATATGATTATGATGAATCTTGTAGAACAAACACAATTTTGTGGCAAAATATTGTCAAACAATCTCATTCAGCTAGAAAAATATAGGCACAAGCTTGGGCATACATATCTAGTGATCTAGGTATAGCTTTACCTGTTATAGTAAATTGTAAGCAGCTTTATTTGATCATGATTTCAAGCTTTAATTAACAACCAAAACATACCTAATGTAATTCTACCGGTGGATTCTGGATAGAATAGAGCTAGTGTATGCTGACCCTAGTAGAGTATTGATTGTTTCCGAAAGACCCTCAACTCAAATAACTTGTACCAAAGTAGTGTGAAAAGGAAAATATAGAAGTAAAGAAGACATATCCAATAATAGGGAAAGAACATGAAAATAATGTGATAATAGAAGAACAAAAAACAACCAGTAGTAACAGAAATTGAAGGACAAAAATCTACGAGAAGAGTGTTAATACTATTGGTATGAAAGGAGAAAAATGCATGCTGCACCAAACTACCACCAAATCTATACCGTAGGAAAGCGCGATAATGCTTAACTACTTACTAACCTTTAACCCTTATCCACGACCTCGATATCCTCCTATCTAGGATCATATTCTCACCTCAGTAAGTTGTAGATTCGTGCATGTGTGTCTAATTAATCACCCCTCCTCCAATATTTTTTTAGTCTATCTCTACTCCTCTTTAAACCCACCATTGTCAATTTCTCACACCTCCTCACTTGGGCATTTGCATATCTCCTCATCACTGACTCAATCATCTCAGTCTTACTTCCCTCATCTTAGCCACCATGGAGGCCACTCCCACCTTGCATATTTATCAGCTTAAATTAGAGTTCAAAATAATCAGATCTATCTCTTTCAAAATAACCTGATTAAAATGCAAAAACTTCTCATTCTAAAATAACCTAGCTAGATGCCTATTTAAGTATTACTGTATATCAATGGAATAGTTAGTAACTGTAAATGAAAAAGAAAATAAAATTTTATACTATTAGGTTATACAGTTAATTTCAATATTCTTACTGGGTTTTTTTTTTTTTTTTAGTATGGAAAGTATTCTTGAAAGATATGAAAGATACTCATATGCAGAGAGACAGATGAATGCAAATGATTCTGATCCCAAGGTAAAATGCAAATTAATACTTTCTTTCTCTTGATTTATCCTTTGAATTTTATCATTGTTGGTAAAAAAAATAAAATGAGGTCTTATAGTGAAGTATTGAAATACTCTCTACGTTTCAATTTATATGAACCTATTTCAATTTAAGTCAATCTAAAAAATATATGGCCTTTTTTTCTGCATTTGGAAAGAATCATTTATTAGCAAGTCTTTATTGCCACAGAAATACGATGAAATATTTAAAATTAATCATATGTTTCAAAGTTTTAATTTCTTTCATAAATTTTGTATCTAATCAAATTGGTTCTCACATAAATTGAATGGAAGATACTTTTTGAAGAGAAATACTCCTAGTGTTTTTTACTCAGAAATTTTTAATTTTCACCTACTTTAGTCCAAGCAAAGTTCATGTTTTGAACATATATAACATCAATCAAATACATTTTCCCCCTTAATTAGTTTCAAATCTAATATATTTTCCAAACACTTGCTAATTAGTTTGTCTCTCATTTCTTGTCTTTGGTTATCCTTTTGATCTCATTGATGCATTTGTTATAGGAAAATTGGAGTGTGGAGTATCCGAAGCTCATGTCAAGGATTGAACTTTTACAAAGAAATATAAGGTAATACGCATCCCCCTTCACTTGATGAAATTTATTGGTTATACACGATTGTTCAGAGTCTCGCACCAAAACAGACACTACCTTAAAACCTACCCTTTTTAAAATGGAGTTGATCGGATGTAAGAGCCTGTTCGCCCCATTTTTGGACGACATGTCAAAGTAGTGTCTATTTTGGTGCCAAACTCCAATTGTTGATATAATATAAAATGTGTTCACATGAAAATCATGTGTAGGCATTACATGGGTCAGGATCTGGACCCTCTCAGTTTGCGTGAGCTCCAGAGTATAGAGCAACAGATTGATACTTCGTTAAAGCGAATTAGAAGCAGGAAGGTCCGTACGTATTAATTAATCATTTTTCTGATTACTAATTAATCTCACATTTTATATATGTACCATAAATTTGTTACTTTAAGGTTATTTGATGATAGTATGTATCATCACTTAAATAATATGCAGAACCAACTGATGCACGAGTCCATTTCTGAGCTGCAGAAAAAGGTAACGATAGATATATTTATATTCTTCTTCATCTTGTTGTATTTATGATGATTTATTACTTGCATTATATATATATGAGCAGGAGAGAGCGCTCCAAGAACAAAACAACTTGATAACTAAGAAGGTATATATATCTTAAACTTGTTGAAATTTATATACATATACATAAAATAATTGTGAACTGAAAACAGTTGAAAGAAAACGAGAAGACAGTACAACCCAACTCATCAACTTTTCATGTGCCTCCATCACATTCTCACCATCTTCCTAACCTCACAATTGGGTACGTACTCTCTCTGTAAATTCTACACTATCAGATCATCTAAAAGATAATTATTACGACATATAATTGCTCACAATAAGTAATACTTTGTGTTATATGCTATCGCATAACATGTTAAATAACATTGATGTGTAAAAATTATTCATACATAATGCGTGTCGATCACAGGGGGACTTTTGGAGGAATGAACAGAGATGGATCGGGTCAGGTTCATCAGTATCCGGGTTCGAATAATAATAATAATAATAATAGCAATTCCTCCTTGATACCGCCATGGATGCTCCGCCATGTCAGCAACGAAGGGTGAAACAATTATAATTAATTGTATATGTTTTGTTCCAAACAATATTAATCAACTTTCCTGTTTGTGATGTATAATTAGCTAAGCTAATTAAACCTTTCATCCTTCATTTTTTATCCATCCCTCCTTAACTCCTATAAATTAAACAGATTTAAGCAGCGCCTATTACGTCGATTTTATATGTTATGGAATCAGGTATATATTATAATAACATACAAAGTCAATTATTATTTTAGATTGCATTATTCTGAGATGATATATTGATTAAAGAGACCTAAAATTAAAGATGGCAATATTGTCCAAGGAACAATTCGGAAACTTAAATAAAGGATGAAACGATTATGGAATAATTCTTTTTGATTTACTTTTATAACACTTATATTCGTTAGATATTACCGTACACCTCTCTTATTTTGATATTTTAAAATAACAAAACTAGTTTAAATGATAATACTACATGTTCTTGTTGCAATAATATTAAGTAATTAATTAATTGATGTCCCAAACTATATTTTATTTGATTTTAATTCTTTTTTTGCTTTGGATTATATTAGCGAGGATAAACTATACAGTAAATAGCAATTAGGGTACAGGAAGGAAATGAAAACGGAGTTTATTCAGACTAGTTCAATTTTTGGTTAAATTATGAGTACATGTTTTGTATTAGCATATACAATTCATTTCAAATTAAAACCTACCAACAATTCGATGATGCAGCAGCTCCAGAAAAAGGAGAATACATGATGAAACAAAGACACTGCTATTGTACTAGATGAATTCAAGAATCAATCCCAACTGATATATTACATATTTAACACATTTCACAGACCAAACTCATCATCATTGTAGTAATGCTCCCTGCAAATGCCAACAAAATAAATTCAGTTAATTACTGGCTATATAGCGCACGGATAAAGGAGAAAATGAGGGGAAGCAATGAAAGTTTATAACAAGACATGCTTTGAACATCTGAAGCACATACATCATTTTACCAGTAACCACAAGTATAAATGGTTCAATAGAATTTCTACCTCAATCTTTCACAAAGTCGTGCTAAAGCATCAGCTCCTGTTCTTGAGGCGACATCCTCAACCACTGAAGCATTGGATGGATTCACTGTTTCTGCAAGCCTAAATTCACACAACTCCTTTAGCGAGCATGCATCAGTCAGCACTGCTGAATGTCCACCACCAGCAGCCAATTTCCGGACTGCCCCAACACACCTGAACAAAGGGTTACTTCAATAAGAAATGACTTTGTATTAAAAGACTTCCAACGTCTAGTCAAGCAATAGTTCATACCAATCAACTGGTGATGGATACCAGGCATATGTAGACTTCTCATTAGCCGCTTGACCGTAGCAGTTATAACCCCATCCATGTATTCGTCCATCTTTAGCAGAAATCAGTGTGTGTGAATGCCCACAAGCAACAAGTTGCACACCATCTGGAACAACCAACACTGGTATATTTCGGAGCATCATCTCAGATTCATTGAGCTTGCACAAAAAGAATCCATTTAATGGCCCAACTCCCAATTGCCCAGCCTGACCTCCACCCCAAGCATAAAGAGCCCCTTTCGCAGTCACAGCACAGGTGTGAACACCACCACAGGCAACTTCTTTAATACATATGCCATCAAGGGAAACTACACGCCTAGGTAAAAGTTCCTTGTCACCTGACTGAAGGGAACAATGGCCAAGTTGTCCCACGCTCCCCATTCCCCAAGTATAGCTGTAGTTAGTCAAAATGATACAACGATAAGTCTGCCTGTATCAAAATCTTAAGAAACGGACAGGGGAAAGAAAAAGGGTATCAATCAAATGATCCGTAGAGTAGTATCTGTTGAAAAAAGCAAAAAATAACCATCACTAATTTGTACAGGACTTCAAGAGACCCAACGAAATACGTGATTAAGAAATCAAACAAAAACAATTATATCAGCTTTAGTCAACAAGCCCTGTCGGTTGTTAAGTCCTAATATAATGAGGGGTACAGCAGAAAGATGGAAGATCATCATGAAGATACATGTCGTGAAGCTTCTTATTCATTTGATGAAGGGTCAATGACTAAGGGACCAAAGTGGGAGAGGGCCACTATTGGCTTCTGGTTAAGAGTGTTCGGGGGAGCAGGGATGTGTTTATCACAGCACAAGAAAAGTTCAATTTATGGTAAGAAATTTGATTTTTACCAGAAATTCATACCAGCACAAGAAAGAACTAGCAAAGAAGAGAACTTAGCTTTGCTATAACATAAGCAAATGATAGTACAATATTATCAGGGGTCCTTTCTGGAAGGAAATTTATTATCTCAAAGAACTTCATGATAAAAATCCCTACTTATCATGATTCTTTCCATCTGTTCTAGCCTTGGTGCACAGAGTTACCTAGTACTTGTTGCTGGTAGGAGGTGGCAAGTATCCCGTGGAATTAGTCTAGGTGCACGAAAGTTGGTCCGGACACCATGGTCATCAAATTAAAAAAAAGATCGAAATAACCAAAACTCAAAAGAGCTAACATGTGAACAGAAGAATTAAGTAAAGTGGATACAAGTTACCCCAAACTCAGACAACAAAATTTTAGTTAATGCATAGCAAAACTGATACCACCTCATAAGGAGAAATGAGCAAGGATGCACCACTGTTTCCCTCATACAAAGTTAAGAACAGGAATACTTAAAAATGCATCAATCATGCCAAGTCTCTACTAAAGAAACTAAAAGTAATAGCAGAAGATTCATTTTAACTTCCTAGAGAACTGAACAACTTTATCTTCCTTTTTTAGTGTGTAAGTCTAAATGGGGTAGTTTCTAGGTATCTTCTTAGTAATGACTATCTAAAAAAATCCTATAATCAAATCCAGAAGCCATGAGGAAATTTGCAAATGTAATATTTCAGTGGGACCAGGCAACATCAATGATTCAAAATTAAATTAGAGAAGTTCCACAAATGGTAAAAAACAAATCCTGCAAATCAAGTAGTGTGTATCTTTATGGTTTATTTTCCTTGACATTCACGTCCACTTGTGCCATGCGGATAACCATATTCTCATGTTTAGCATCAAAACTTATCTCCATCAAGAAAGGTCCAATGAACACTTACACCTCGCCTTTCTCTGATATAGCTGCAGTATGGTACTCCCCACATGACACTTGGGTAATCTTCACAAGTTCAGGGGCTTCATCAAGAAATTTAGCATATCCATTAATTACACGAGGGCCTTGAAGGCCTTCAGATGTAACACCTCTGCCAAGCTGACCATATTCATTATAGCCTGCTTTACCAGAGCAGTGACAAAATTTTCATTAATACATGACACAATATGTTTTTAACTCTAAGGCTGTGTAACCTGATAGAGGATATACACATAAAAACTAAAATCACATGCAGGGATCCATACACATATGTGCACTGATTTCATCAAAATTACTGAGAGGATATGTTAAGCATAGAATTGTATATACAGGTGAATTAAGAAAGTGCAAATTACCCCAAGCTTGTAGTAACCCTTCTTCTGATAGCGCTACAACATGAACAGCACCACAAGAAACTTGGCGAATAACCTGAATGAATTGAAAGAGCATACAAATATCATAAAATTTGTTGTTCACTGTGAATGTCAAGTCACCATTGTTTTTGTATGGAAAGCAACTTCTTAACAAAAAAATGTGGGCAGATTAGATAGAGAATTCAGGAAAAGGTAAATCTGCTATCATAACATAAATGCGACTAGATAGGCGCTTAAGCCCCACTATGACCACACAGAACAGAAGTAATACATTTGCATGAGAAACACAGATATTTCCACAAAAGTACATTCTCAAGAAAAATTTGGTACCGTAGAAGGAGAAAAGGCACCCCAAAAGAGTCGTGGGTAGTTGGATCCCTGCATAGAATAACATGGGCAAACAAATTGTGACCTCAAATAAACAAGGTAGCTGTTGACTTGAAGTTTTTTTTTGTGAGACTGACCTGGTTCTGTCCCCAGACCCAAAGTCTCCGACCTGACATGCTACCATCGTTTTCACGTGGTTCTGCAATGGCAACAGTACAATGTGCTCCACATGAAACACTAATAACAAATTCAGATTGCAATTGTTTCACTTTCTTGGGGTGCTTCCTAGCATTTTCAGATCCGTCACCCAGCTGACCAAATTCATTAGCTCCTGTTTGAAGGTATAAAAATTAGGAGTGTTCTATAAACTATTTCATGTTGCAATGAAATAAATACAACTCTCTTACAAGAAAAATCAACTTCCCCACAAACAAAAGCAGGAACAGGCTTCTGAAATTAACTGTCAAATATCAATTAAAATCTAGGTTTTTCCCAAAGAGGTTAACTTTACAAGTAAAACTAATTGTTCAATATCAACTTAAAATGCATAAAGTGGTGACTTCTTCTTTGCAGCATATCTCTTTGAGTAAAGGAATAAAAAGCAAGTATTACACCAAGGAATTTATTTGAGTAAAAAATACACGAAACTGTAGCAAGATCAATTAAGAAAGGCAATAAATGACCAACAAAATAGTGCAATGACCTTTTTTATCAGTAAGAATAGGGCAATGGTTTTTAAAGGCACATTTTATAGCAAATGGATAACCAACCGAGACCAAACCATGTTAAGGAAAAATTAAAAGATACCACAGTTTACATGAGAATTCATCATTCATTTGGAAGAAGCCAATAGGAGATTTGCTGTCATTATCTATCCTCCCAACTTCCTAATTTCTTTCAACCCACATGTGTGACAATGTAGTCAAGTCAATAGCACCCAGAGCAAAAGATTGATATATAATGAGAGTTCGCCTTCTTGCCAGTGGTATACACAGGTAATCCGTACAAATACCACTGATAAAAAATTCTCGCTCTCTACCTTCACAAGGGTAAGGCTACATACACACCAGCGTTCCAAGACCCCACTTGTGGGATACACTGGGTATGTTGTTGTAGAACACTCTCAGCTCTTACACTTTAGTTTGTGGGATAAAAAAAAGTTGGTTTTACACATTGTTGGGGTACACCATCTTCAGAAACTCTTCTCAACCCAATTTCGATCCAATGTCATCAGACAAATGGTAGCCTGATCAAACTAAAGACCATTGTTTTCTTTCTTCGTTCCACCCAATTTATTCAGAAATACAGAGACAGTTGATGATATAATCCAAACTTGGCTAGTAAAGATCAAATCTTTGGGAAAGCTTGTAAATGATAAAGTAAAGTAAACTAAATGAGAGTCAAATCAAATTAGAAATAGAGCAAAAACATGGATACTGAAAAATGAAGGGAAATAAAGGGCAAAATTGTCAAACCCCATGTAAAAAGCGATCCATCAGAAGCCACAGCAGCAGTATGCTCTCGACCACAAGCAATATCCAACCAACGGGAATTACCACCAGCTGGGCATCCAAATAGCTCTGGAGGAAGCTGTTTTGGGATCCTCAAACTCCTCTCTTCCTCTCTCCGACCTGTTTGCCCAGATTGATTGTAACCCCAAACATAAATCGCACTCTTGTTTGTCAGACTCACAGGCCGAGATACCCCAAGTATTTCATCAATATCCATTTAATTCAACTATCAAAGAAAAATGAACCATAAAATACAAAAGCTACGATCTTTAACTAGTGTTTTTGAACCGAAGTCCCTAACTTTGACTCTAAAAAGATGAAACAGAAATGTAAGCAGTGAGAAACTTACGATGAAATCGAGAAAAGGATATTTAATGGGAGGAATTTTATCCGGGAAATTTGAAGAATCTAAGGTAGCAGTTTGAGCTCCAAAGAAATTGGGAGTTGATGGATGGAGGGAGGGCAGGACTGCCAATTCCTGGCCGACCGTTTTGCCCCCAACTGATTTTTATAGACCTTAAAATACTCTAATATCCAAATACTTCTCAATTTAGAAAGAATCTAATTGGAATTTCTAGTTTAATACCTAATGATAAAATTTTGTTATTGCGATCACATAAAAATTGCTAACTCAAAATACAGTCATAAATGAAAATTAAATGGAGTATTAGAGATAGAAAAGCTTTTATAAGTAATATTTTTACTTAATAAAAGAAAATGTCTTCTTATTAATTAGTATGGTTTGACTTGAATATGATATCTTATGTTATTCAATCTCTTTTGAAAAGAGTAGTAATATAATAATATAATTAAAATAATATACTTTTTATATTTTATACTAATAGATACTAATAATTGACGGTTCATGCACTTTACTAAAAATTAATCTAATATCTCTAATTTCAATATTTTTACATTGCCTTATTAATTATATCACTTCAAATCTTAATCTATGATTTGGTTGTTTTGACTTTGAATGAATAAAGAAAATGATATGAGTATAATTTATAAATCTACTCATTTGTTTTTTTGGTTTAAATCTACTTATTCGTTGGTTTCATATTAACCGAGAAAATTAATACTCCCTATGTCCCAATTTATATGACTTACTTTCCTTTTAGTCAGTCTCAAAAAGAATAACACATTTTTATATTAAGTAACAATTTAATTATAAATTGTGTATTTTACCCTTAATGAAATGATTTATAGTCTAATAAATTTCTATCATTCATTTCGGACCACAAGTTTTAAAAGTCTTTTTTTCTTTCTTAAATTTCGTGCCGAGTCAAACTACCTCATATAAAATAGCACGAAGGGAGTAATTCTAATCAAATTATCTTTTCTATTTAAGTCTATCTAAAGTATTTTTTATTTATTTATTTATAATATAAGATCTCCATATAATTTTCAAGTCTCATTTAAGAGATTACACTTGTTTATATTATTGCAGTATTTAGCTATACTTTTGATAATTGTGTTATTATAGTTATGTTTACTATTTGTATATTTTTGTCTGTTTGTATATTCAAGCAAAATATACAAATAGGATAAATTTATACAAATTATGTATTTATACATTTAGGAATTTTTCAGAACTCTATTTGTATTTTCGCTTGCCAATATACAAACATTGTAATTTATTATGAATTTTTCAAAAATCGTATACAAATAGTTAGGGTAAACATATACAAGATTCACGATTTATACAATTAGGAACCGAATTATACAAATTAGGCGAATTATACAAAGTAGACGAATAGCAAAAAAATAAGAAAATTGTAGCCACAAATCATAATTTTTTAAAAATTATAACTATAATACCTAATATATGTTAAATATTTGTTAATATCCGTAATTTTCTATATTTAAAACAATTGATCAAAAAGTCCGAATCCCGTCCAAGTACATAGCGTAGATTTTAAGTTTCCTAAGTCCATTTTCACATCACAACTCCTACTCTTTTTTTTTTTATCGTTTTTTCTTTAAAAAAAAAAAAAACTATTTAAGATTTAAGAAGAATAAGAAGAGGCAAATTCTGGTTACTGCCCAAAAGAGTCTTTCCTAATTTATATGCTTTCATTGAATCTCCGAAAATTCCTAATTTCTCCGAGGTAACACTTTTCGTTTTCATGGGGGTTTAAATTTGCTAATTTCTCACTAGTTTATGCGTTAAATAATGGGGTTCGGATCATTATCAAGATTTAATTTAGTTTTCCTTTGATGAATTTGTTCCCAATATATGTTTTTTTTAAGTGAAATACTCAGGAAAAACTGAAGCTTTGATGATATGTTCTTCATGTTCTGTTTGACCTTTTTAATTAGTTTCTTGAAATCCTGTTTTTAGAAGTCAACATTTTTCTTGGGGATAGGAATTGGGGTTCTTGAGATTTTCATCTTTGATCAAAGATATTGAGATAGAATCAACTTAAATTTCAGCTTAGGGATAAAGCCAATTCTTGAATTAAGATTCAGTGGTATCAAAATGAATGTACCTACTAGGTAGAGGTTCGAGTTGAAAACAATGGGTGCAGTCACCTAAAGGCTATATCGACCATGATTTGGGAACTGCTACTATTAGAAAATCAGAATCTATTGAATGATTTACTATACATAAATTTTAAGAGGGGTAATACCTATGGATGTGATTTCTTATCTTGAACTTGACAATGCTGATTCATGTGATCACGAACTGCATTATCATCCAACTTTTTAGGTGGGAACCTAAACTCAGATGGGGAAGATATAGCTTCCTCTTTCTCTATCTTAGTGTGTGTGGGCCAGGAAAACTGAAGTGAAAAACAATCTAACTGATGGGATCTGTACTTTATTCTAGTAAAATATTTATTTTGTTTAACAGAAGAATGGTATGAGGCCAGTTAAGATGACTTGTTTCTGAATGTGTGTAATCAGGTTCCTGCATCGATTAATGGCCACCAACAGTGGAAAGAAGTTTATCCGAATTGATATCAGTTCGGATACTGTGTGCCCCTGGTGCTTTGTGGGGAAAAAGAACCTTGATAAAGCTATAGCGTTAACCAGTGATCAGTATGATTTTGAGGTGCCATTTGCTTCTGTTATCTGTGGTTCCTTTACTGCCTGTTCCTCTATCTTCACTGGAAAAATCTTTTTTTTTTGTAGATTAAGTGGCATCCGTTTCTTCTCAACCCTTCTGCACCTAAAGAAGGGATTAACAAGAAAGATTACTACAGAAATAAGTTTGGATCTCGCTCTGAACAAATGATGTCAAGAATGTCAGAGGTTCATATTTTCTTCTTTTCTCTGGTTGCCCAAACAATGTGTCTTGAAAAGTTGCCTCCAGTGTGAATCACCTTATTTCAACCTTTTCAAAATCATGCAGGTTTTTAAGGGCCTTGGGCTGGAATACAACATGTCAGGACTAACGTAAGTCTCTGGCGGTTTGCCAAACATAAGAAAGCTGTAAAGTGCAAAAGACTTGTGTTATAACATAGTTTGTTTTCGGTATGCAGGGGAAGTAGTCTGGACAGCCACAGGCTACTATATTTTGCAGGACAACAGGGGCTTGACAAGCAAAATAATCTTGCTGAGGAGCTTTTTCTTGGCTATTTCACACAGGGAAGGTATATAGGTGACAGGTTAGTGCCTTTTTTCCTGACAGATTGAGATTAGTTGCATTAGCATACTAATGCTACACAGTAACAACATTCAATTTTCTTTTCCTTTTTCCTTTATATTGGATCTTTCTCCTGACTTTTGAAAATGATTCACGAGCAGAGATTTTAAAGCTTCTTCCTTGTATAAATATTGATCATTACAGTGATGCATCACTTGTCAATAGCCATATTTCCTTTTTTTTAGTGTTTTATGACCATAGGCAGATGTTGTACATAATAAATACAGCGACATAGTATAGAAGATGTCATATAGTTTAAATTGACAGCATTTGACTCTCAACTTGTAGGGAATTTCTTATCGAAGCTGCAAGAAAGGTCGGTATAGAAGGAGCAGCTGACTTCCTTGAAGATCCCAACAATGGGCTAAAGGAGGTATGTTTTCCCAGCTTTTATCTAATAGTCAACTGGAGAGTCTGTCTTCTATTTTTCTTGCTCATTTCCTTTCTCTCAGAACATTCGCTGAGGGGGGAGGTGTAGGTAGTATCTGCTGGAAAACTGCTAAAGACACGGTCAATTATGTAGAACTTTTGCTAGACAGAAGTAAAGCAGCCTAGCTCAATGATATCTATATTTGGCATTATGACTAATCTTTTGTCCTGCTCCATGATGGACCAAGTCCTTCATATCACATGTTACCTAATTTTCAATTCCTCATGTTCACTAATCACTACTACTCCCCCATCCCCCTGTTGGTTGGCTCAGCAGTTGGATAGATCACCATTTTATAAATATGTTAAGTAAATTTTGTTGGTTTTGGGTATGTGAAGGTGAATGAAGAGCTTCAGCAACACTCATCCAATATATCAGGCGTCCCACATTTTGTGGTATGTATGTAAACATATTTTAGCACATTGTTCCATAAGCACTTTTGATATGTTAATCCACGAATAAGAAATTACTAAGCATTTACATTTGGCAGTTAAATGGCAAGTACCAGTTGAGCGGTGGCCAACCTCCAGAGAGCTTCATCCAAGCTTTTCAAGCTGCTTCAAATGTCACAGCATAGTTCGTCTCCAACTTCATTGCAGAGTCTTTCTACCTCTGTGAAGTTGTAGCCCACTGGATAGATACCGGTGACTCTTTCTTAAAGTGGGATGAAATATTCTATTAGTATTATATAGGTATGCTTGTACTGTAGTTTAAGTAAATATTGTGGATGATTTACCAATGGATGTGAAAAGATGACATGATAATAAAATCCACCTAGAATATTGACAGTATGTGCTCGTGGCGACTTAATTGTACTGCAGTAATTACTTCTGTTTTATTTTCCATTGAAGGTTGAGAGATTTATGTGACATAATTGAAATGATATTTGCATCGTATATTTTTTTCGTTCCAAATTCATAGTACATTATATTGCATCAGTTATTGGAGTGTTTATTTTTGCATGATACAACATTATATTTGTGCAATAATCATTCGAAAATAGACTTGAATAAAAGCATTTCAGGAAATTACACCCAATGACGTTGGAACAGATATAAAATAGTATCAGATCAATGTATAATACTATAGTGATTTTGGCAGACAAATGTGCCAACATTCAAATTGTGAAAGTAGGAACAATGTGCTATACACTGGGAGAAATCATTCATCAAATCAAAACAAGATTACATAAAGTGCTTTGAAACTGTTTTCTGTTGCATCAAATGATCAATATGAACTCGAAAGTTCCAAACAGAAAGTTGCATTGAACAAAAATTTCATTTTTACTGATGTATGGTCACACATTTAGCTGGACAGATATTCACAATGACTTTACATTGATTAGCTTTTCTGGTTTATTAGTTGTTGCCCTTATCTCCTGCTGGTTTCATCCACCACTAGAGCTTTTTAAGAGTAAAGATCATGGCGACTCGTTGAATAGCATCACCTACAAAGCAA